GTTCTGGACGGCATTTTGTTTTCTTAATGTCAGTAATGGCATTGCAAGAAAAATTCTGGGTCAACTACTGTAATTTTGATTTAGAAATGTACTTGAATAAAATTTTAAGAGAGATGGACTGTCTGCTCCATATTGGGAAATTGTTTGTGCAATTCCTAAGACATCCAAGAGAGAACAAATTGAACAAACTAAGTGGAAACAAAAGCCGATGCAAATGCCACCATTTAGCTCTCTTCACTGAATATCTAGCATTTTCTGTAGTACGTAGTGATAAAAGCAGTTCCCAGAAAATAAAATGATATAACATCATAACATATCAATATAATAACATCACCCATCACTATCCACCAATTCAAATGTTTTGTTACTTAACGTTCTTTACATTTTTCATTTATATAAATAAAGCACTAGCACACTTAGGATACTGTGAGATAAAATATAATGTAATGACATTTCCTTTCTCATTAGGTTAAAATAATAAATATTCATGTACTTTGGTACATGATTCATGGTATCTATTACATTTTAATATAACATTTTAGGACAATAATTTGTTTCCCATTCATCTATATAAATGCAACTCCAGTGTAATTAGGACTTCCATTATATACTGTCTTACATGGGGGGTGGGAGAAGTAAATGACAAATGACGTGACTTCTGTACTAGCATCAGATATGATGTCATTGCCTGATGATTTCATGACATATGTGACATTTTAACATTATGGCTGCTATGGGTGCTGCCTGTGTCCTCTTTAAATAACTAAATAGACTAGTGCTGAACTGGACTGTGTGCATTTGTTCTGTGACCATTTCCAAGTGAACTTTTGTTAAATAGAATAAGGAAGTTTATAAACTATTTTTTAAATATATATTTTATGCATTCCTTTTCATCAAAGTCAAAGTTGAATTCAGATAAGAAGGGAGTGTACATAGCTTTCTTAATTCATGTAGAATAAGCAGTTAATTGACTTTTACAGATGGTTGTTCTACAGGTACATTTTATGGTATACTTTTCCCTAATAGTGTTTTGGAGCATGAACAGTGTTCTTTTAAGGATATAATTGTGTCAGTTTCCAGCAGTTTTGTATTGATTATCTGATCTTTACGTGGCCTGTCAAAATGGTATGCTTTTATTTGAATCATTATATTGTAAGTATCAGATGCATTTATTTGAGAACATGAAGTAATAGAGAAACAAAGCAAGTTGTTTAATTCAAAGGTCTGAAGTCTAGCACCAAAATTCATATAATCACTAATGGATAAACTCAGAAGTTCTTCCTCTTAGAAGTGGTGTTCTATAAGAATCAGCCAATAATGCAGCACAAGTATTTTAAAACTTTAACTGTGCTTTGATTTTCATTTGAAGATCAGTTCAATTGCATGTTAACAATGAGGCCAACAATAGAAAAACTATTTATTTATTTATTTATTTATTTATTTATTTATTTATTTATTTAATGAGAGGCAACTAAGGACAACTTTAGGAAAACGATAAGTTGCTTTAAGAGGAGGGTTGAGGGAGTATCTAAAGCAGAGGTCTAATTAGGCTACACCAGGCAATTCTCTAGACATTGAACTCTATATCTAGAAACTTATTTTACAGCATAAGCTTCAGAGATTGAACATAGTTACATAACTTGCTTGTTATAGTCAAGAAGGAAATTATATATACATTCTGCACAGTCTTCCAGGTTTGGGAAAGGTGGGCACTGTGACACAGTACAAGTAGTCTTTGTTTAGCAACCACAGTTGGAACTGGCAACTTGGTCATTGAGTGAAGTGGTTGCTAAATGAAACCATGACTGTGCTTTTGATCTTACTTCAGGTTTCCTTTGCTTTACAGACCTGCAAAGATCATGAATGTGAGGATTGGTTGTAAAGTTACTTTTTCATCACTGTTGGAACTGAACAGTCTCTAAACAAGGCAATCGCTAAATGAGGTCTACCTGTAATTCTCTTCCCTTCTGAAGAGGTGGTTCCACTTGGTGGTGATGGGGGGAAGAGATTGAGCCCTAAGATCCTCAGGGCTTTATTAAACAGCTACATGAAACCTTTGGTTTATCATCCATCTACATTGATGATACTTAACTTTACATAAAATGGGTTAGGCTATCAAAGCAGTATCTAGGTATCTGGAGGCTGTTACAGTTTGAATAAGGAGGAACAGACTTATGTTTAATCCCACAGGACAGAGCAGCTTTTGGTTTGGAAGCCATCCAATTCTAGAGAAATATCACCTCTACTTCTGGATGAGTTTGCCTTCCCCTGAGTGGAACTGGCTCATAATTTGGGGTCCTGCTCTCCCTTGATGGGCAGATGGCAGCTGTGGCTAGGAAGGCCTTCATACAGTTCTATCTTGTGCACCAGTCATGACCCCCCTCTGAAACTGGAGGTTTTACTCACTGTCACTCATGCCTTAGTCACTTCTCAGCTGGACTACTGTAATGGGTTCTATGTGGGGCTGCTCTTGAGAGCATTCAGAAGCTACAGCTGGTCTAGAATGCAGTGGCTCAAGTGGTTATGAGTACCCATCTAACACCAGTACTTGGGGAGCTGCACTGGGTGTCAGTTGGCTTTCAGGTCTCCCTGCCTTAAAGGAAATAGTGGTTTGTTCTCTTTTAAAAAAGCCATTGCTGGATCCAATAGTACTGGACAATTTTCATCTGGTCTCCAACCTTTTTTTTTTTTGGAAAGTTGTTGAGAAGGTGGTAGACTTGCCTGTCCAAAGGGCCTTGGAGTAAGCAAATTATCTAGTCTCTTTTTAATTGAGTTTCAAGTATTGAGACCACATTGATTGTGCCTTAAAGATGATCTCTGGTGGGCTTGGGATAGGGCTAATGTATCCATCCTTGATCTTTCCAGCAACCTTTGATACTGATGATTACACTATATTTCTGGACCAGCTTAAGGTGTTTGGAGTGGGAGCATGGTTTTACAATTGTTCTCCTCCTCCTTAATGATAAGAACAAGCTTCAATTCAACCTTAGTAGGATTGAGTGGCTATGGATTTTAGGGCCCACTGGATGTGGACTCCCCCAGACAAAGTTGGTGTACAATTTGGGGGTCTCTGGATTCATGGCTTTTGCTTCAGGAGCACATGGCAGAATGGGCAGAAGGACCTTAGTCAAATTCAACTTGTGCACCAGTTCTAATGGTTCCTGGATCAGGAAGCACTACTTGCAGTCACTTATACCTTAGTTATTTCCTGATTGGACTATTGTAATGCATTCTACATCAGGCTGCCCTTTAAAAGCATTTTGCATAACAGCTAAAGTTGGGCAAAGGCCCCTCTGTAGCCATGGACATCACCTGCTGTTCTTCCTGTGAGTCCAGAAAGACCCCCAAATTGCAAACCTACTGTTTTAAAAGTAATGCTTGCTGATCCGGAGACAACATTGTCATTGACAAAGAACATCAATGTATAAACAATGTGTAAACAGTGACTCCATCTTATCTGGGTGAAGCTTTGGTCGGTTCTCTCTCATCCAGACCCTTACAGCCTCCAATCACTAAGAGATTAGCAGCATCTTCTCTGCAGTCCAGGGTGGTGAGGTAAAATTGGTTATCATCAGCATTGATAATATTGCATCCTGAATTGTTGGATAACCTCACCCAGTGACTTCAAATAGATGTTTAAAATATATGGAGAATGTTACTGTGGTGCTCTATGTGTTAGAGCCATCAGGTAGACTTCTCCCCCATTGCCACTGACTGAAACAGCTCAGTAGGGAACCACTGCAGAAGACTACTTCCCAACCCCTGTAGGCAGTTCAGTAAGATACCATGGACAATGCTATTGGCCAAGAGGCCCCAAAATACAGAAAATGACTTTGAAAAGAGAAGTTTAGGTGGTTACACATTGAAGCTATTTTGATCATCTTTTGGGATGCCATCTTTTCCCAAAGAAAGAAGAAAAGTTCTGGAGTAGCCAAATGGCATGATAAAATAATAAAGCTTCCCATAACACATAGTTCTACATGTCAAATCCCTGGACAAAAATGGTACTGTCAAAAATATTCAGTTAAGTTTTCCTATGATTCCTGTTCAACCACTTTTTATATACAAGTTGTATCCCTGAGATTGTATTGAAATTATCAGTTTGGTGTAGTGTTTAAGGCATCAGGCTAGAAACTGGGAGACTGTGAGTTCTAGTCCTGTCTTAGGCATGAAGCCAGCTGGGTGACTTTGGGCTAGTCACCATCTCTGAGCTCTAGGAAGGAGGCAATGGCAAATCACTTCCAAAAAACCTTGCCAAGAAAACTGAAGACCCTAGTCCAGGCAGTCGCCAGGAGTCAAAAACTGACTTGAAGGAGCCAGTTCAGTGTAGTGGTTATAGCAGGTTACTCCAAAGTAGTCAATATTGACCCCCAAGGCTCGATCGGTCTATCCAAAGAGGAGTTGTTGTTGTTGTTGTTGTTGTTAATATTATTATTTGTAGTACTGTTAAAGTAGTATTTATTAAACTATTTTCATATAATTAATGTTTGGAGATCAGTGAACAACCTGAAACTTAACAAAGGGGTCAATGAGCTGAAGAGTTTGGGGACCCCTGGGTTAAGGCATCAGGCTAGAAATGAGCAGACTGTGAGTTCTAGTTCTGCCTTAGGCATGAAGCTGGCTAGGTGATCTTGGGCTAATCACACTCTCTCAGCCCTAGGAAAAAGGCAATGGCAAACCACTTCTGAAAATCTTGCCAAGAAAAGTGCAGGGACTTGTCCAGATAGTCACCAGGAGTCCTGACTTAAAGGCACCAAAAAGAAAAAAAGATTATGTTGAAGTATTTTATACAAGTTTACTGAGTTTGGCATTAGTTTTGTTTATATCTGATACATCTATAGCCATAGAAGTTATACAGCCATAGATGTTATACAGTTGCTAAATACAACAATGGTAGTAATGTTGAATGATATCAATCTGATTTCATGTCCTTAATTGTTCTAAAGCCCTCTCACGCAAACTCAGCTTTTGCTGACTTTTCTTTACTCTGTGTATTACAGCTCAAAACTGTTCAGGACTGAGGACTTGCGGTCAGTGTCTGGAACACCCAGGATGTGGATGGTGCAATGATCCCAGTAATACAGGCAAAGGCCATTGTGTGGAAGGTTCAGCAAGGGGGCCAGTGAAGTTCAGTGGGATACATTCTACTGAAATAATTATTGACAACAACCTTTGTCCTAAAGAAAAAAATTATGAATGGTCTTTTATCCAATGCCCAGGTAGGATGAATTTGTTATTGTTGTTGCCACTTGTATCACTGAAATTATGGAAGGTTAATCATTTACTTCCAAAAATGGGATAAATTGTGTGTCATGTTTTGTTGATTGATTTATTAATATATTTTTAAAGTTTTTCAAATACAGATCCTGATCAATAAAACATTTCTCATTCTTAATATCCCTTGTATCCACTTTTTAAAACTATGTCAAATTTCAGGTACATTAAATCATACTGAAGATGTATGCTGTTATGTAAAGTTGTGAAAAATGGCTCAAAAAGTGATCTTTTTATTGAAATTCCTCTTCATATGCTGTGTTGATTCAAGACAGAAATAGTATAAATAATGTTTTAAAAATATGAAGAAGTTTTTATAACCAAAGCTAGGACATAGATGAAATATTCTTCCTGGAGTCCCCTTGAATACTAGACTATTGATAAATATGCATAGGGATTCTAGAGCTTTATGACTTGACAAATTTACAGTAAGTACCAAGCATATATAAAATGTTCCATATTTGGGAGCTAAACATTCTGGGGAACTCCAAAATGTTCCACCATATTAATCCAGTCATTCTAGGGATGAACTGGCAGTTTTCCAAAATTAATTTTTTTAGAAGAGGAATAGATTTTTGGTGTTCTGGTATGTAATAGATATCACATTTAGCTGAGCTCTTAAGAGATTAAGTATCTGTTTGCAATTCAATCTCACTGTAGCATCTGGGACAATAAACATAGTGAACATTTAATTTTATTATTTATTTTTAATATAACATGTACTCTTTTTTGAAGCACTTAGCTATAAAAACAACAGCATACAACATAATATAAATCAATTTAGGCCACTATATTTCATTAAAAAAAAAAAGAATAAAATTTCTCTTTAAAACAGCCAGGTTTCCTATAGGCCTAGGACCACATGTGGGCCTCAGTCTTATTTCAAAAGCACTGTTCAAGAAAATAGTTCAGACTTCAGGTAAGAGCAGCTCTCCTAATCTGTTTCATGGACCAGGTGATGGAAGGAATGTGTTAGAAAGAGTGAAGAGAAGAGATTTTGGAAAAAGAATGAAGTAGTGGTCTTGCCAAATTTTCCATTTGGCTCTGCCTAATTGTTGTTTCAGTCCAAAACACTATTGTGATCCTCAACCTAAAAAAAGATTGACTATTCATACTTTAATTCCACCAATAGTAATACATATCCCTAATGTTTCCAAAGGCCTATAGAAACAAACGTGGTCCAGGTAATAGCTATTACAGCCATAGAGATCAGGGCAAAATTACTTACCACAGCATCTTACCACAGCATTACTTATTGCCTCTTTTGTTAAAAAATAACAGTACTATACTAGGTACAGATTATTAACACAAAAACAGGCAGAGTTGAAACAAGAGGGGCATTTACCATAAGCCCTATGAAAAGATTCCCATTTTTCTGAGGAATGTTCATATCAACCACACTTTTAGGATGAAAGTAGTACAGAGATTCTTGGTGGTAAAAAGCAGTTCATATCTGGCTATTGTTATTGTTGTATTAATGCATGATTCCTAATTACTTGACAGCATTTATTTTAAACAGCCCCCCCCCACACACACACACAAAGGACTAATGTCAAGAAGAGTGATAATCAGAAGGAAAAAGGTAAACATGTTTCAAGAGACACTTTGAGTCCTTATTGGAAGATCTTCATCTTCATCCAGATTGTTAGGTCTATGGTGAATGGTCATTAGCAATGCTATTTAAAATTATATGTTGCTGATTAATTAGTTTAATTTAACTCTCTGCAATTTATAGTGAACTTAATGCTAAATAAACACAAAGACTAATAAGTCCCCAGTTAGCTGTTCCCAAATTTGTGACCATTATCAGGTTAATTAAATTACATGGCAATCTTTAGTTAATCAGCATTATAGGAAGTAATTCAATAAAAAGAAACAAATAAATACAGAATCAAAACAGTTTAGCCATGCTCCATGTTAAGGAAAAGAATGTAACATCTGCTCATATAAAACCAATGAGACTAATCCCATTAACCTCTCTTTATTTTACTAGCATCGAAGTATAATTTGTTTAATAGGTGAAGCATACAGTATAGTGAAAATTACTTATTGAGTTTACCTATTTCAACTGTATATAGTAGGCATCTAGTAAAATAAGACCACTTAAAAATAAGCAATCAGTATTTTAAAGGAATACTGGTAAGTATTAGGTGGAAGTTCTTTCTAATTGAAACTAGATAATGTTAGCACAATTATATGTTCAACAGGATTATTATTTTGAATTTTCCAAATATTTGAATGGACAGAAAAGAATATTTAGATATACTGTGTGGGGGTTGCTGATTCTGTATCCAGTGCCTGAAGTGAATCAGTCTAAATTAAATTCACTCAATTCATTAGGTCTAGAAATCAGTGGAAACCACCAGGAATTGACCATGCCCTTATTTGCATAGATATAAATGTATAGAGATATATATTTTCACTGAATTGAGAAGCATTTGAAATCAATAGTTGAATCTTCAACTTAAATCAGAAAGCCAAATTCTGTCATCAGATCAGATGCCTCCAGATCAGTTCAGTGATTTGGAAGGGCTTTATACATGTATGTTTAAAAAACATTTATTTGATTTTCTTAATTAATATGAATCATTCAACTGACTCACCTATTCCTTAATATCATGCCTTAGGTTTTACTTCTTGTCATGCTTCTGGGAAAAGGATTTTGTGGTTCATATATTATATTTTTATCTCTAAGATAGATCACTGTATAAGCAATATAAGGAATTGTGGTATTTACTAAAGCTCATCTGTACGTCTACTTCACACAATGGCTGAGTGTCAAAGATACACTTGGGAACCCAATTTTGTAAACAGGCTCAAAGTATTTTACCAGTGACCCACATTATAAAGAATGTTTTCTTTTATCAGCATAATAATTGGCATTTATATGAATAGCTCATGTTCTGTTAGCTGCTTTAAGGATTTGAAAACTGGTGCTTTCTACATATTCCAGTTAGTTGCAAAGCACCGTTTTCCAGTGCTTCACACAGTCCTAGTATGTAGTGTTGCCTGATAGCACTTATCTTACCTTTTTACTAGCTAGCAGCCATATAGCCATAATCAGAAATTCATCCTTGATGTCAAAATCAATGCATACATATCCTGGCTTTTGAGTCCCAACAGAACTCTTTCTTCACAGTGTCCCTTACAGGATGAGGGATTAAAAAACAATCTCTTAAAAAGGCAGAGAGATGAAAGGGCAGGTGACCGAGAAGGCAGGTTGTTTGAAGGAACTGCCATGACTGACAGGTGCAAGTATTCTTTAGGTTTGTACATTAGCACAACCTTGGTATAGCACCCTGCTTTATTCTGGCCACAAGTAGTGAACTCATAGCTAACTAAAGTGCCAAATTAAGAAGCAAGCAGAGATGCTATTTTAGCACAGGACACTGTGGATGGACAGTAAGGAATAATGACCCATGTAAGTTAGCAGCAGGAAGAGGTAATTAGTAATAAGGGCATTCAAAAATGTTCAGGCTGGGGAGACTAAGAGGCAGAAAGTTGATTTTCATGAATAGTGCATCAGTTCAGTTTGGAATGGCTAGGGTGGGATATAATGGTTTTCCTCAGGATAAAAAACATCATATTGCTTGTGCAGTTTTGGACAACTATAGCAGGCCCTGGCAGCTGGTTAATTAGTACTTGCAGATGAGATTTGCATATTTAATATTCCACAGATTTCACCAGGCAATGCACTACATAGCCAAAGAGTTAAACTGGTGGATGTGTTGGTTGTTTCTTTGACTGTTTCCCCATGGCCAATAATATAAATTTCCTTGGTGTTCTCACAAAGGAATCTGAGTTACTGGACACTGCTGCTGCTATAGGAAGAAATGGACCCTTTTTCTCCAGTCTGTTTGGCAGTTGCCTCTTTCTATGGGTGTCCTTCGCTATCTTCCTTAATATGTTCTGCTAGCCCCTGCAGGTGTTTGGAATGCAAAGGCTGCCCTTGATCTGGGGGTGTTCTGTGGCCAACATCTACGCTCTTTTCTAGCATAGCTGTCTCATTGCGCCTTCTCTCTGTCACTGGATTGCAATATGCATTTTCCCCCGCATTGCCATCACTGCAGCAAAGGAACAGGATCCAAGGTTCCTAATAAAAGAAATTAGATTGCACACAGGCAACTATATATCCAAGGTATATTCTTTGGAGTTCTCAGTCAACTATTCTAAATTTATATTTATCCATTTTACTAAATCTGTATGTTGATTAAAAAGTGCTAAACACACTGTTCTATGTTTTTTAAGAATGACTGTTATTTTGCTCTTTCATTCAGTTCCCCAAATATATAAAACCTGGTTATTTTGTTTTAATTGCAGCTTGCCAATGCAATGGACATAGCACCTGCATTAGTGGCAATGTGTGTGACCAGTGCAAAAATCTAACTACAGGAAAACAGTGTGAAGCATGCATGCCAGGTTATTATGGAGATCCAACAAATGGAGGACAGTGCACAGGTAACTGTCTTAAAATTCAGTTTCTGCTATTTATATGAATGAAATAATGGGAAAATGTTTTTTTTAAACTCAGTCTGATTCAGTGATTTTTTAAAAGGTCATGATACAGTTAATCTGCTGCATTTTCTATAACTGGTAATAATTTAGCTGGTTTAAATATGAGAAATGCATTCATTTTAAATGAATAATTCCTTTATTGTATTAGATTACTTTTAAATTGTCCTATCACAGAATTTTGAAACTGTTGTTGTATAAAGGGTTATATCCAACGGATATCACTCCACTGCCAGAATGCTCTATGATCCAGTATCATCAGAATAAAGGAAATTAGTTTCAGTCCATCTCCAAACACTCTTTTGGGTAGCTGGCAATCTTTCACAATAGTGGGAGGTGTCACACAGAATGGAAGGACAATTGTTTGTCTTGTAGCATGTTTTACATTTCCCTCCTGTTCCATAAATGAAAACCACTGCTGATTCAGAAAACAGCAGAGTGAACTTGGTTTCATTGAAGACGAGTTATGGCTTCTGCAAAAGTAAATCTTATTAATCTGCTAAACATTTTTGAGAATGCCAGTAAGGAAGTAGATAGAAATGATATTTCGTGCTTGAATATTTAAACTACTTTGACGCAATTGTTCATGAAATATTCCTGAGCAAACTTAACAATACTATAAATTGCTGTTCACTTTGGAACTAAATAGATATCTAATTTATATTTGTAAGAAGACCCTTACATTAACCATTTATATAGTCAGTCTTTGAAAATGCTACCTTCCAATAATGTTATGAAAATTAGACAATTCTGGTGAATTTGATAGCAATCACTTCCTTTTATAAATGCTGCCTGAAACAGGAATATTGAAACTGTCCTTAAATGTATTTTAAAACCATATAAACGGTTTCATTTACTTCAGAATAAATTACAAGATTTGTATTGAAACATACTCATACTTTTCTTTTCAGTTGTTTTTGAAATAAGAGGGACACAACTACTATATTTCAAATTAAATTACTTAAAATGTATGTTTCATGAAAACATTTATGGTTATTCTGGTATCAGTATCAGGAATTCAGAAATTTTTCTTCATTTTTGCTCAGCCAGCAGTCCAGAAGCAATTGCAGTACAGCTTATTAATAAATGTTATACAGGTGGTAATTAATAATTAGTAAAAAATGTTTCCTTAAAATAACCTTTTGTTTCTCAGGCAGTCTCCAAACTGTATATACCAGTTTGCGTGTAGTTATTTGCCTCAATAACATTTAAATGTGTATTCTTTAAAAAAAAGATAATAATTAGAAACTTGAGGCGCTAAAATATGTTTTAGCATTAGAAAGGTATTTGCATTATTTGCATTTAAAATATGGAAATTGTCAATAATGTGGGCTTTCTTTCTGTAGTGACTCTAAGTAATAGTTGTTTAAGGGAATTTTATTTATTTATTGCAATATTGAGATATACATTGTCCAAAAATACTAATGTTATGTAATAATTTTATTTTCAATATGATATATTGAATAATGCAATAATATAGTATGTTCTTCACATTATGTTCTTATTATATTATTTCAATGCAAAAAAAATGATAAAAGAAATTCGTCAGTACTTCTGTCATAAGGATGTCTTCCTAAAATTATAGTCTGAATATCTTTTAGTACAGAAAACTGTTAGGTGCAGTGCTGATATTTTTTATCATCTAAATTAATAATTTAAATGTGGCTATTTCACAGAAAATATTCCTGTGTTTACAGATAAGGAACAAGAATTAAATAAACATGGCCCCCATGCCTCCTACTTATATGTTGACATTAGTGTTTATGTTAGTTTCGTGTTTTTTATCTTCCTGAGACAATAATTTGTTTTTACTGTGACCTGAAAACATTGTTTTAAAGACTAGTTACTAAACAAAAATGAAAATATGCTTCCTTGCTCAGATGGAATAAGAAAGTTGGTTTCAATTGTGACTTTACTGCTAAAGTCAATTTTGAGGGAAGAAGATTGAGGACAAAGTATGTAGGCCCTGTCATGTCTATCTTGCATTCTTCTTCAGGCTGGAGGAGATATTATTATCATGAATGCCAGCAGAGCTTGAAAGAAGCCATCTGTTGGCAAATGAGTAAGGCAGTATAAAAGACTGAGACTGTTGAAACAAATATCGAGACAATATTTGTTTCTGCCCATTTTATTCCCCCTTCTCCACTTCTAAGTTTTGTTGGATATAGTTATATATACGTGGACTACCATCACTCTTCAAGCTGACTCTTTTTGTATCTTATGCAAACTGGCTTGAATAAGTCTTTGCCTCTAGTGTCTCTGTAGGTCTGATTAACAGGCTCTTGACTTTGGCTCTCTTGATACCTGCCTCTGTGGGCAGAAAAGGTTAATGTCTGCTTTTAGTGTAGTAAATGTTTGGCTTAAGGCAAGATAGCTGTTACTGAATTGCACTAAAGCTTTCTGCTTTCATATTTTAACTGTTTCTGTTTGCTATTTCATGTGAAAATATTATAAAATAGGGTCAATCCTAATTTGTAGGTGAGTGAATAGAGTCCATTTCTATGATTTTCAGAGGATTGCATTTTATTATCCTCTCCAGATAATATGCAATATAAGAATTAGAGTAATATTCTAATCTTGAATTACTGTTACAAGACAACTATGCTATTGTCAGCCCTTTCAGACAGGCAGGGCCAGGAAACAGATCGCACAAGAATTACTGAAACTCTACTTTATTGATGTAGGCTATAGTAACAGAATCTTGAAAGCCTGACAGTGTTTTCCCTTCCTCTTATATCAAAGAGTTAATTCTGGAGCAAGTTTAAGTTTCTTTCTAATGCTCTCTTTCTATCCAGATCATAGATCATATTTCTAATTGTCACCGCATTCCTCATTTCCATAATTCAAAGATTGAAGGCAAAAGGAGAAGAGGACGGCAGAGGATGAGATGGTTAGATAGCATCACGGAAGCAATGACCATGAAACTGAGCAAACTCAGGGAGGCAGTGAAGGACAGGAA